TAAACAATTAAATCAGTCTTGTCCTATTTTTATCCTCTCTGACTATTCCTCTGTGGGTTCCGTGAGGTGTGGCTAAAAACAATCGGTCTAAAAACCTCAAACATTATTGCTATCAGCTCCTGCAGTCGTCTCATGAAATCAAAAAGAAGATTCCTCTTTTATCAGTCAAAGTGATGCAGCTGATGAGTGCGTGCTAAAAATAGTGGGTTTTATTTGTCTTTTAACTCTCCCAGTTAGACCAGGTGCAGTTACAAATAGCATGACTGAGCTCGTGATGTGCTCGTGATCAGGTTCATCGACCTGCTGGCCTCACAACACCCCCAGTTCTCTGAAGTGAGCAGCAGCAGTTGTGTGTAAATACATGAACACGAGTGATGATGTGTCATTTAGTGCAACTTTATAGTGTCCTCTGCTTAATCCTGTGAGCTGAAAACAACTTTTCCATTTGCAAGAAGCCTCTAAAAGTTTCAGCTGTCTCACATCTCTGTCCACAGAGTTAACCGCAGACCCCATGGAGCCTCCTGCCGTCTTCTTCCAAGCCTCTCCCGGCTCCAGTGCGCTGGACGTGCGTAAAGCAGGTTACGGCTCGCTCTCGGACACTCCGTCCATCATTTCCGTCCCACCCAGTCTGTCCCCTCCTCCCTCGGCCATGCCCTTCCCTCCCCTCTTCCTCTCCTCTCACTCTCTCAGAACTATATCAGCTAAAGACCTGGAGAAGAGCTGCATCTGATACGTGTCAGGTTGTTGAATCACTGTGAAGGAGAAGTAGCTGTTAACTGGATGTGTTTTTCTAGCATCAATACATATCAGACTTGTTCATATTTTAGCTGGAAAATGCAGAAGGAAAGAAGGAACTTGTCGATAACATCTGGTGACAGAGTTTACAGGAGAAGTGAAACCACTAAATCTGTCAGTCGTCGTTTATAACCGTGACTCCTGAGCTGTTTCCTCCTCGCTGCCTTTAGCCATCATATGTCTTAAACATTCTCCAACATCACTAGCATAAACTGTAGTTACTGTTTGCGAGATTCAATAAACTTTCCTGCACTTTATCTAATACCAGCCATCCTCTTGGTAAAAAATAAACCTTACAGTCATAAATGAAATGTTCTCTTCCTCATATCTGCTCTTGTGATCAATATTAACAAAGCCATAGCCAGGATGGAACTAATTATTTAAGCAAAACAAACAGTTTAAATCTTAATTCAAAGGACATGCAGATTGTCAGATTAGGATCAACGTTTGTGCCTCTTTAAACACGTCATACAACAAATCAACGTAGAACCTGTCCAGTGCTTCACATGTCTGACTCTCTCCTCCCTCTCGCTGCTTGATTGTGAGGTTTTACAATTAAGAAAAGTCGAGCAAATTTGAAGGCCCCTCTCACCAAATCATCATTGAAGCCCAGGAGCTATAGATCCTTTTTCACGGCAGACATTTTGACTAGTTTCTGTTCCAGTCTCTGTCCTGTACCAGGTGACTCTGTAAGGCTTGACAGTGAAGCAGAATGAAGCTGAAGCAGCCAATAGGAATTCATGCATCACTGATTTTATTATTTACACGTTTATCTCGTGCTGTGTCAAAATGTCTCGATAAAAAATGGTCTGTCCGGTGTTTTTTGTAAAGCTTACCTTAGATGAAACATGAATACATGTCTAAAAATAAGAAAGTAAATAAATGTAGAGTAATGGAATAACAGTGATAATAGCATTGATAGTGTTCCATCCATCCATTATCTATACACCGCTTAATCCTCACTGTGGTCATAGGGGGGCTGGAGTCTATCCCAGCTGACTCAGGGTGAAGGCAGGGGACACCCTGGACAGGTCACCAGTCTATCACAGGGCTACACTTAGAGACAGACAACCAAGCACAGTCACATTCACACCTACAGACAATTTAGAATCACCAGTTAACCTCAACATGTTTTTGGACTGTGTGGGAGGAAGCCGGAGAACCTGGAGAGAACCCACGCTGCACGGGGAGAACATGGAGACTCCACACAGAAAGATCCCATTGAAGGTGTTACTTGAGTTAAAGTATGTAATATTAAAAGTAAAAAGAACTAAATGCTGAAAAATAACCCTGTTTCACTATTACTCATCAAAAATGAATATTACTCATGCATTCATCAAGAATTTCCTTTAAGTTTTATCTCATCATATTTGATCTTATCTTAACCTCAGAGCAGCTGCTGTAGTTAATTGGAGCTCATTTTGATTATTTTTTTTGTATCAAACTGCAACAAACTGACTTTTTTTATTCAGGTTATTCTACTGATTTTTCCCCCCATTCACTGATTGATTGCTTAGTTTGTAAAAAATAAAATAAAAAATCTAAAATAATGAAAAATGCTGCCAAGAGTGCTATAAATGATTATCAGCATAGTTGCCAATTATCAGTAAATTAACTGATTAATAGACTGATTATTTCAGCTTTACTAAAACTTTTGGATAGTTTGTTAAAGACAAAACATGACATTTTGTAAGTTCTCCGTGTGTTTTTTTGTGCAAAAATCAAGACTAGTAGAGTAACTAAAGCTCTTAGACAATTGTAGTATAGTACAAGTAAAGTAGAAGTAAGGTTCAAGTTAAGGTGTCTTTATTTGTCTCTCTTGGGAGAAATTTGTTTTAGACAAATGGATCTGCTGCACAGACAACACATTACCACTCATACAATAATAATAATAAAAAAGGCATCCAGAATATTAACAAAAAATAATAAATTGAATAAATATATCCACACACATAATGACTTCAGTGCAACCTCCCTCTATTTAACTGTGGTTTCTCTATAAAACAGACCTCTATAATCTACAGTAGAGGTGACCTTGTCCTCCTCTTTGTGTCCTTTGAGCAGTTCTATAAAAGTGTGTCTGATATCAACATGTCCTCAGAGAAAGAATACCTTTTGTTATTTTTATTTAACTTCATAAGTCACATGTCCTAAATTAATGTTATAAAGTGAATGTAGTGAGCAGCTCTCACACCCATATCTAAGTGCTTGCAGTATTGATGCATTATGTAGCTGCTGCTGCTGCTGCTGCTGCTGTTGGTGTGACGCACAGGACGCACAGGAGACGCTGAGATCAACGCACAACAAAGTAGAACCACAAAATCTGAAGCCTGCCTTATCTCCATAAATCACAATAATCTTTTTTTTTTTCTTTTACTATTAATCTTAGTGTGCATTTATAGTCTTTTTAAAATCGAATCTGTGGCCTTAAAAGCGCAAATAACCGGCAGTCCTCCCACAATCATCCCTGCGTCCCGAGACGCGCCTGCCCATCCCGACCTCCAAATACCTGGGAAGTCTGTTAATATGCTTCGATCGGACAGTGTTTACTCTTACTCTCTCCATTCAAGGCTCTGTGCGCTCCCAGAATAGCCCGCTGCTTGGAGAGTCGGTGCTTAAAACGCCGGGCTGCGGGGAAGGAAGTGACATGCTACCTTCCACTCACTACACACACTTGGAGAGATTAGCGCGCAGGGAGCAGTAATCTGTTTTCAGGACCACGGCCAGAGACACCGTTTGGCCATGAATCCTGTCGAAAGTTGCCAACGGCGCGCTGCGAACCTTTACGGACACCAAAGAGTGTAAAGAAGTTCGTCTGGACACCAAGGACTGTGGAAAAGTGGAGCTGAAAAATGGTGATTTTTAAACAAAGGCATTTGAAGTGAACTCAATCTCTGGACAATCTGCGCCGCTGACTTCTGTTGCACGGGACACTGCGGGTTAATTAAGGAGCCTGGTGACCAAGTAAAATCACATTTATTATTTTTTTTATGTGAGTGAGAAGAACGAAGCGCAGGGAGCAGAGGAGAAGGGTGTGCGCTCAGTCGGGAGCGCGCAAAGACTGCACATTGGTCCGGTCCTGGAGTCGTGAGGATGGAGATCCGGCCGGACAGGTTTAAGGCCGTGGCAGCCAAGACTCTCGGGAAAATATACGGGTATGTAAAAAGAAAAGAAAAAGCCCCTGTGGGTCCAGCTGCAACCAGAACACAGCAGGCTGCACTTTAATGTTAACACAAAGTTTAAGGAGCGGTTAATCTAGAAAGCTGGAGGCACCTTCAGCTGCTGAAACATGTTTGAATATGAGCATTTATCAGGTGAAGATAAGAGGTAAAGAACAGATCAAGATGTCCATGGGCCTGGATAACCTGCCACATCTGTCTCTGTGCGCTAAAGAACACACAAAGAGTCACTTTGTGAGGCATTGCAGGCGAATAACAGTATTTCCTCAGAGCGCACAAACGCTCTGGAATCTAAAAGTAATCTCTGCAGTCTCTTTCACACGCAATGCTAAGTAAATTATCCTCATTTGCTTCTGAGGAATCAAAAAAAAAGAAGCAGAATTAAGTTTCATATTAGGCCCAAACTGTGGTGTCAGTGTAAGATAAAGCGTCGGGTCGATGAATGGATCCATTTCTCTGAGCTTTTCTGCAGTGCTGTCACATTGTCAAATCAAAGGAGGCTTGTCACAGTTTTATCTTGTGGATTTTTATGAGTGACCCATCAAGCATTATGCTTTTGTCAATGAGTCTGATAGTGTGGTGTATCTATTCCTCCTGAGTGTTTAGTGTCAAGCAGGCCTGAGAGGCTTTTATTTTGTCAAACCTTTCATTTTTGAAGAGCAACCACAGGAAAGTGTCATCAGGTGCTTCTTTGCATTGTTAGGAAGGAAACACGTGATGGGTCAAGGTAGGATCATGCATGTAAAGCTGACATTTTTGTACTTAATGAAGCATTTCAGTGTGGCTTTTTGAAAACTTCAGCAGCTCTAATCAGTCCTACTGACAGCAAGTTGCTAAAAATAATGATAATAAAAATAATAGACAATGCACCATAGAAATAGTCTGTGAGGCTGTCAGGAGCCTGGCCAGTGATCTGAAAGCAAAAGGAAAAAAAAAGTATTGATGGACTCCCCTTTCTTTCTCTCGGGATTTGATGCAGCGTCTAAACACTTAAATCCTCTCCAGAAATAGCCTCTCCTCGTCCAAGCTGTCGGCCCACGTAAATCCCTGCAGGCCGTACACCTTGGGCACTTGTCTCTCTTCCTCTAAGTAGCCCGATAGCTCGTCATTGCGTCCCTTCCCCCCCCTCCCTCCCCACCTAACCTACCTACTTCAGGGCATCTGACAGGCAGGATAAGGCCAGAGAGCGCGCAGCCATCGTCTCCGTGAAGCGCACGTGCTCTCAGGTGCTCCCAAGGTGCGTCGCTGCTGTGCGTAACGCGCACTGGCACGCAACGTCCCCAACGGGGGCGCACAGAGACAAGAGCCGGCAGATGGTTTCCGCCTAATATCTGTTGTTGTGCGTTTTGTTGTGAAGGAATGGAGCTGCCTCTGTTGCTCTGTTCGACTCTGTTTATCCATCGTTTCATTTGATTTTATCGTGGATTCCAGCGTAAGATCAAGATCACACTGCAGCCACTTATCAGCTGCTGTCTTCAGCTTGTGACTCAGGATGAACACGATTTTACTGATGTACAACCAACCGACAGTCTCCTCCTGTCATTCGCCCATTAAATTTTAAATCCCTGTTTATTGGGCATCTTATTTCTTCACCTGAATGAACTGTTCTCTCTAATGTTTGATCAATAACTCTATAATACGTTTGACCCTCATTATCAGAGGACAAAACCATTAGGATCGACATGTGAGCAGAGTTTGAGAGAAATATATTTAGCTTGTTTGATTGCATGATTTGCCATTTTTGGTTTATCGGAGGTCCTCAAGAGCACTATCTTTCCTATTAAATGCAAAAATTAGAGACAAAATGTACTTATTTTTTAGATGTTACCATGTTTGTAGCTGTTTACAGTAGATGTTCTGACATTTTCGTCGGTCCTTTTTATGGTGTCATGAAGGTTTTCAATTTTTCAAGCACCAGTTTTTCTACTCATCTCTTATCTAATCAATGATTCCAAGCTGCACCAAGCTGCTGAACTGCCCTGACATTTGTCCTTGACGTATGAATTAAGAGATTAACCTGAAGAGACAACCAGATATCCTCACTGAGCAGGACTGGTAATATGAAGTCAACATTCTTATATATAATTAAGATTCAAAACCGTGCTCGTTCCCACTGAGGTTAAGTTGCTCCCCCAGATTTGCTGCACCCAGATCTGTCCTCATGGTGTGAGAGCAACTGGGAGAAGGTCAGCTAGCTTGTGAGGATTACAACGGATTTTCCTTAACTCGGGGTCAGTCATGAAAAGTCAACTGATACGATCGAGAAAATGTGGTTAAAAAAAAGAAGAAGAAGAAGTAGGCAGGCGGCTAAGCTTTGCTCACTGTATTGCAGAGAAAGAAAACTCCACACGGACATAATCTGGATGCAGGAAAACAAATAAATTGGTGTCGAGGAAAGAAGGAAATGTTGTGAATTGTGTGTGAGACTATGCGTGAGTCAGGGGAGCGGACGGTAAAAGGCAGGGTTAAAGATGAAGAGGAGACAGGAAGAATGAAGCGAGAGGCCCGCCCAGACAAAAATAGTCCAAGAGAGCCAGAGATATAAATAATTTAACAGTGAGAATCATTAATACTTGATCAGTGTTGAAGATTGTTGGAACCCCTGCTTACAGTAACTAACAGAGCATGTATGTTTTATAATTGTGGAGCTGTTGTTTCCTCGTCAGGGTTGTTTGCAGGAATTCTATTGCTGGAGCTTCTTTTTTTTGTAACTTGATATGTTAGTATCTGTCTTTTTAAAGGATCTTCACCTGAAATACATAAAACTAGACAGCTGCAAGATTGCTGTCAGCTTTGTGTGATGACACAACTGGCTGGATAAACCTGGTGAGCCTAAAAAATAGATGTAGAAAGGCTTGTGTCACATACTCTTCATGCTATTTAGTATCCAAGCATGACACATATTGTTTTTAAAAATGCAAAGGAATCCAAGGCTTGTGTTGACCCAGTGATCTCCAGTGTTTAAAACGGATCATTTTGCGACTCCACTTTCAATTATCTTAGACAAAAAGAGGTAAAACGTTACACAACATCACAGTTCTAGTGTTTTACCAGAAGCAGCTACAAGGTCAGTCAATGGAATTTTAAGAGCAGCTACACTGGGAAAAAAAATCTTTTTGAGTTATGATTTCTAATTTAATAACAAACTAAATTGAGTTCAGGGGAATTAGCTTTTCCTCTTCAATCAGGAAACTTATCTAATGATTGGTGGCATAAAAACAAGTTTATAAGTTCATTATTTATAAAATATCAGCAGCCTTTTCACATTACTCAAAAATGTTATAGTGTTTTGTGTCTAATTAGTTTTTAAGTTGGCAAATTAAAAAAATAAGTTGCTCCAATGTTAAGTGCGTAGATGAGGGGGCTTGAAGAAACAGTTGGTTATCAAGGCAATTTCATGAAGTTGCCTCAACTTGACATCAACTAATGCAGATATCTGAGTTTAAATCACACACAATATTAAGTTGATGGTTAATTATGTCAAAACAACCCATCAAAAATAATGTCGGCAACTTAACAGGTTTATCTAAATCCGTGAATTGGAATTTTTGCAACACTGTGTTTAAATCAGGCCAGTGAATGAGTTTTTAGAATGTAAACTTTTTATAAAAATATTCCATCTCTGCTTAACTGTCAGTAATTAAGATCAATCTAAGTCTTTCCAGGAATGTTTGGTCTGTCAGGGATCTCGCACACCTTCAGTCTGCTGCTGGTTTAGTCAGGAACAGTGTGAAGGTCCAGAGGTTTGCTGGGATCACTGCAACCACACACTGGGGGAAAAAAAGGTAAACTGAGTGGCAGCAACAGCTGTCAAACAAAAAATGCAAAATTAGTAAAATATTCTAACTCCAATAAAGTGCTCACATGATAAATTAACAGGCATTAACTACATGTTTTGCAGAGAAACACGATTATTTTACACAGTTCCTCTTCAATAATATGATGGACCTCAAAACTCTGCAGTGAAACATTTTTATTTTAATGATTTTAAGGCTCATATGCCTTTACTAAAGTGTTAACACATCATGCTCAAGATTGTTAAATAGCAGCCTCGCTTTGTCAGACAAATAGAATGCAGATTACTATAAAACTATTATGTTATTTCTATAAAAATCTGAATTTTCATTTTTAGGGTTCATTTACCAAATATACATATTCTAAAAGTTACACATCACATTGTATTTCAAAAGCCTGTCCATGAGCAGTAGAGTCACACTAAAGACACAAAAACAATACATATGAATCGATCTTTTTGGTTTTAACCTCGTTGACCTTCGTGTTATTGATTTGTTGTAATAGAGTCTTTAAGTGTGGGTTTTCACAGAGGAGCTGATGTTTGTTAGATTTCATAAACCCGCATGATACCAATCTACATGTGCAGCTGTGTTACTTACAACACGGAGGATCTTCTAGTCAGAGACTTTCATCCCGACCGTGATGAATGTTCACAATGGCCACTGTTATTAATGAGGCGCCCTGATGAAGCCGTGATAAGAGTCTTAATAAGAATCATAATATAGAACCAGATAAGAATCGTAATACACTTTAAATGTGATTCATTTCTTCTCCCTGTGTCCTGTACAACCAGCTGACAGGTAGTTTAAAAAACACACCCCTACCCTCCACTCACTGTTTGGCTTACAGCTGCAGCTCTGATGCTTTTAACACCATGTATTGTGTGTTTCTCTGGACAATTTAGCTGCAAATCTCATTTACAAGACAGAGGCCACTGGGATATTTGCTCTTAGTTGTTGTTGTTATTTTTTCTTTTTTTGGTTTGCATATGTGTGAAAACTGTGTATAATAAATAAAGGTGAAATATGAAAGCAGCTCTGTGCTCCGTCAGCCGCAGTGCTCCAGTCTGATCTAAGAACTCAGCATTGCACACGTCATGTTTAATAAATGACTGCTGCCTTTGGATACATATTTGATGCTTGTTAGAGGCGGGCAGAGGTCACGGATTCTCAGGCTTTTCTCAGAAAGCGTCGTTAGCTTTGTCTGAAAAGGAGAAGAGGTGCACGAGTCTTTTATCCACACGGTTTCCCCCCCTCGCTGTTGGCCGGCTCCGTCGGGAGATCCGCGATACAAAACTTCTCAATACATTAACACCTTGAGAAGACATCAGAAGTCAAAGCTTTTCCAGCGGAGCCTCGGCGGTGGGAGACAAACAGACAACTGTGCTGACTGTCTCTTGTTAAGGTGCCGGAGTTGCTTGTCGAACCGACAGCGAGAAAAAGCTGTGTGAACATCCAGATCCTTGCACTTTTATCAAGCCAAGCTGTCAGTCAACAAGCCCTTCAGAGCGCGATCTGTTTTCACCGTGGCAGCAGGAGTTGGAGCTCGCCGACAAACTGGTTCCTCTGAAAGAAAAATCGACAATATAGAAGTCAGAAAGTAAGCAAAACATGAACTCTGACCTTTCTGAGGGCTGAATAAACTGCTAAAAGTTGAACTACTTCCTTTCGCTGTTGAGAAATCAATCTGAAATGAGTCAACAAACTCTGCACTCCTACTATTTGGGAGGAGTTTCTGAAATGTTTTGCATTAAAGGATGTTTTGATGTGTATTGTCAAGATTATTTGTGTAGCAAACTGTACTGAGAGGCCAAGGGTTCTTATATAATGCTGCAAAGGAACGGTTTAACTGTTAGAAAGCCAAACTATCACAAGCTAAGTGCAAACATTTAACTGTTAAAACTGTCCAGCGCTGTCTTTAAACACGGCTCAAACTACAAGCTGTCACTTTTGGGTTTTCTCATCTCTTCCTCACAGAGCTCTTGAGAAGAAACAGGAAAATGGCGAGACCATTGAGCTGTCGGCGGAGGGCCGGCCGGAGCTGGTGGAGGAGAAGGAGATGCCCGTGGTGGACTGCACGTGCTTCGGCCTGCCCAGGCGCTACATCATCGCCATCCTCTCCGGCATCGGTTTCTGCATCTCCTTCGGCATCCGATGTAACCTGGGCGTGGCCATCGTCAGCATGGTCAACAGCCACACCATCTACAGGGACAACAAGGAGATCATAGTGGTGAGTGACAGCACACAGCGCTCGTGGCATCGTTTAAACTACAACAGCAAGGAAAAGTAGTGAATGCATGTGGCCATAAGTATGTGGACACCTGTGCTGCAGTTTTTCAAATAGGCTGACTTTTTACAGCATGAGAAGCACAGATGAAGTATGTTTACATTGTGTGTTTTATTAACAGCCATTACAGAGAGCCAGACTGCACGAGATCCTGGAACTATACTTTAGCTCACCTAAATTGAATGCAGCTGTTTTTAATGTCAAGCCTTTCCTGTTGCGACAGGGCAAAATGTCTGCTGTGAGACAGGTCAATCCATCCTCAGGGACGTCTTAATGCTACAGCATCCGGTCATATTTTAGACAACAGCGTGCATTAGTCAGAGGAAGGCCATCCATGAGTCAAAGTGAGATCCAAAATGTTTCCCAAATTTGCTGCGGTTTTAGAGGTGGAAATTCAAATTTGCAGGTCAAACAAAGTGGGTTAGTCATCAGAGTTAAAGGTTTAAGAGCTGTGGAGGAATACTGGTGATTGTTCAATAGGTGTCAGTGGTGGACCATAACTCTCACTGTGCTGCTTCTGCCTTCAAGTTAGCTGCCGGTTATCTAATATCTAGCATCACATGCTGCCTGTTCTATGAGATTAAACATTATAGATCCTCATGTTTGACCGTCTGCCCCAACAGAAAGCACAGTTCGACTGGGATCCAGAAACAGTGGGGATGATCCATGGTTCCTTCTTCTGGGGATACATAGTTACTCAAATCCCTGGAGGCTTCATCTGCCAAAAGTTTGCAGCAAACAGGTCTGTTAACCCACTATACTGGACATTTATTGTATGCAGCCGATCTAATACAACATATTGAACTTCCTCTCTCCGTCTTCTTTCTCCCTCAGAGTGTTTGGCTTTGCTATAGTGGCCACATCTTGCCTGAACATGCTCATCCCTTCTGCAGCGCGGATGCACTTTGGCTGCGTTATCATCGTCAGGGTGTTTCAAGGACTTGTGGAGGTGCTTTACTTAGAATACGAGAAACTGGCAATGAGCTGTATCTCTATTTGCATACTGTGTTTAAAAATAGTTATCATGCTTTAAACTCTTACATTCACTTCATATCCCACAGGGGGTTTCATATCCAGCTTGTCACGGTATTTGGGCAAAATGGGCGCCGCCTCTTGAGAGAAGTCGTCTGGCCACAACGGCCTTTTGTGGTGAGTCCCTGATCACTGCACCTTTAAATAATGGACGTTCATCACCACTGTTAGTACATGTACTGCTTAATATAGAGTTCAAAGTTGATCAATCAGGTACTTTGAGAAAATGAATCTGCAACTATTTGGACAATAAACTAAATGTGTAATTTATATTTGAACCAAAAATGTCAAACATTTGTTGGTTCCAGCTTCTCCAATCTAAAGAGTTCCTGTTTTTTTTTTTTTTTTTAAATGTATACAGCTACCTTCAAATGTATTCAAACCCGTCCAAAGAAAAGGCAAAATTCACAACAGTCACTCAAATAACTAGAAACTGAATAAAGTAACAATAAATAAAAATTTGCTAAATTCTAATTTAGTGAAAGAAGACATTGCTTTTGAATTATGGTTGAAAAAATAATTTAAAAAAAAACAAACAACAAAACTGTCCCAGACAAATTAGAGCACTTTGCTGATGAGCAGTGGGCCAAAATCAAAGCACCTGTCAACAGGTGCAGAAGTCTGATTGAGAGTTACAGGAAACACTTGATTGCAATGATTGGCTCAAAGGGTTGTTCAACTAAACATTAGTTTACGGGTCCCATCATGCTTATTTGCTTGTTGGTTTTTTTTTGTTTTTTTTTTTTTTAAAAATTTCTGTTGAACCATAATACAAAAGCACCGTCATGATTGTCATTATTACTTTTGTCAATTTCAACTTATTTCAGTGACGGCTGTTTTTTTTCCTTCTTTAATGGGAGGATATGAATACATTTGAGGACGACTGTATATATTTCATGATGTAATTACTTTTACTGTTCACCTCTTACTTATATTGTGGCTGTTATTGCTACATGATTATGAGGGTAGCCATGATAACAATATTATTTTTTAAACGTTTTTTGAGTGTGAGTAGAGTCACATCTGTCACCTCCTCCCAGATGGTTTTATGTGCTAGAAGAAGCCACACTGTGGTAGCTAGGATGTGACAGTGTCTTCCTCTTCTTCTTTTTCATATTTCATGACGGGTGGCCACCAGCGTCAGGGTGATTTAAAACCACCTGCTATGTTGCAGTGTCACTCAGACAGCTACTGACCTCATTTTATTTAATAATATATATTATTACCATGATAATGAATATTCCATTTTTTAAAATCTTACATTATCACTGTGATTGTCATTTCCACTATTTTGCAGCACCCTTATTATGTGTGTGTGTGTGTTGAACCCCTCTGAAAAATGGGAAATAGTGATTATATTAAGTAGCTCAACAGCTGCATGACAAAATAGGAGGCAAATGAATGTATGAAATATATGTGGCAAACATGAGTATATTGTATATTGTCCCACTAAACCCAGTGTTTTTTTAGGTTCTTACGCCGGTGCTGTGATTGCCATGCCGTTAGCTGGAATCCTGGTGCAGTACTCAGGATGGTCGTCTGTCTTCTACGTCTACGGTAGGAGACGTCTGACCTTTAGATCTACAGACTTTATGAAATGTGGACTGTGTGTTTAAGGTTTTGAAGTTGGATTTTTGTACCCAACTATAACCCGTTTTCTCTTGTAGTAACATACAGTGTGACTGTTTTCACCCTGACAACAGAGTGACAATCATGAACCAGCAATGACTATAAACAAATCAAAAGGATGATGCTTGTGGTAGCACAGGAACACAGCAGAAACTGACACGTACTGAAACTGCAAACACAGGAAACCACAGCAGACCAGCACCCTAAAATATATACACACATATCAAACAGACCCCTCACACACACACATTATGTATAAACTGAACATCTGACTCTGTACCAAAGCAGAAACTACAGTCAAAATGTTCTTTTTGGCCTTTCTTCCAGTTTTAAATTGTTATTTTCTCCCCCACTTTGATTCACTCCTGTCCCAACCAGGAACTTTTGGTGTCATGTGGTACTGTTTCTGGATCTTGGTGTCGTACGAGAGTCCAGCAGCTCACCCCACCATCACCGACGAGGAGCGGAAGTACATTGAGGAAAGCATCGGCGAGTCTGCCCAACATACAGTAACGGTCAGTACGTGAGGCTGCACAATAGCTCAAACGCTGAATCACATCACACTGACTGAGGTTTAGCACACTGCTGTGGCCTCTGCTAGCATTTCCCAACAAGTGTGTTTGAATAGTTTGAAGCCTGCTGGTACTCTTTGGGGTTTTTTTTTCTTGCAAAATCCTAAGTAAGGATGAGATCACATGTAGATTTCATCAGTGGAAAAAACGTGCTGAGTCAGAAAAAATAATAAAAGCACCACTGATAGATTTAGAAACTTCTTATTAGTGGTCATTTTTGCTCTTCTGTGTCAAACTAAGAAAGTTCTACCTTCTCACTAACCTCTTCTGATGCTACCACATCTACGTGCACTTCTTTGCCTGATCATATTTGCATGTAAATAACTGCACATTTATGCCAGTTTTACATATTCGTTCATTAAATTCACTAAAACTGGTTACGCCTATTTTCTCTTACAGAAGTTCAACACTCCTTGGAGGGCCTTCTTCACCTCCATGCCGGTGTACGCCATCATTGTGGCTAATTTCTGCAGGAGCTGGACCTTCTACCTGCTTCTCATCAGCCAGCCTGCGTACTTCGAGGAAGTGTTTGGGTTCGAGATCAGCAAGGTAACAGAAACCAAATGTGGGCAGCGTGCTGGAACAGAAGAGTCTGCTCTCTGTGTTTACCTCAGCGATCATCACCAGACGTCCTAAATCTGACTGTCTTCCTCTCCCTTCAAGGTGGGCATAGTGTCTGCACTTCCCCATCTGGTTATGACCATCATTGTGCCCATCGGTGGCCAGCTTGCAGACTACCTGCGCTCCAACCACATCATGACCACCACCAATGTCCGAAAACTTATGAACTGTGGAGGTGAGAAAATGATGGAAGATGAACAACTACACATGCACGTAGGAGAGATACAACCAGCTCACAAATTAGCATAAAATCTCATATAAAGTAGTATTTCACTGCCTTTACAATGTATAAGTTCAGAGTGTTGAGTCATGTAAAGCCGAAATAATGCACAGTAACTCAGCGGCTAATTATAGCGTTACCTACATGTGAGCTGGTGCGAAAACATTTGCTGCATTAGGGGAAATGATGACTCACTGTAAAGCAGACGCCCTGCATCTGTCTGCTATTTTTGCTCCGTAGAGATGAACTGATAGCAAAGTGAATTGGAGAAGCGTACAGTGTCCCGTACGTATCACTTAGCAACTTGAGATATCTGCCCTGACAACTGCATCTTATGAAAACAAAGGAATGAACTAAAATAACTTGGAGCTAAATACGGATCCAAGATTGGAGCATTAAACTGAGTCTTTGTTTGCTTCTGTGCTTTTGATGCTGCTGTGAATCAGGGTTTGGGATGGAGGCGACGCTGCTGCTGGTGGTTGGGTTCTCTCACACTAAGGGTGTCGCCATTACATTCCTGGTCCTGGCTGTGGGCTTCTCTGGTTTTGCCATTTCAGGTGAAACACAAAAACATTTTAATCACAAATATTACCAGACTTTTGGGGGATGTTGGAGCAATCTAACCATTTGTTATCCCTCTATAAGGTTTCAATGTGAACCACCTGGACATTGCGCCGCGCTACGCTAGTATCCTCATGGGCATCTCCAACGGCGTGGGCACCCTGTCCGGCATGGTCTGTCCGCTTATAGTCGGTGCCATGACGAAGCACAAGGTGAGAATGTGGACGCATGTGGTGTTTGACACTGTGTTCTGACACATTTTATTTTGTTTGTGTGGCAGGGCCTTATAATTAACAGCAGAGGTGTCAGTTCCTCAGAGAGGCTTTTAGAAAAATTTCCATTAGTCATATTTGAAGAAATCTATCACTAAGAAGGACATTACTTTAGTTTAAGTGTATGCTGAGTTCTCATTTCTAAAAAATAGTCCATATTAAAACCTGTTTTTAACTTTAGAATATTTTAAAGTCACAGCAGCAAATAAAACACATTTTTCATGCATATAACCTAAATTAAATCTACTTTTTCTTCCTTATTCTTTTTTGACAGACGCGTGAAGAGTGGCAGGGCGTGTTTCTTATCGCCTCACTTGTCCATTATGGAGGGGTTATATTCTATGGTGGGTATTTACTCTATTTTCTATTCTGCCACGTCAATAACAAGACTGTCCCATATGTTTATAAAGATAACTTTGTAGTTTGTGATATTCTGACATTTTAGATATACAAATAGTTTTTTTTGCAAGTACGCAGCAGTCTGTGTGTTGTTCGTGATGCGATCATAGTGGAAGTTCAGTTGAACATATTCTGTAGATTTGTTGTAGGTCTAATTCTGTAACTGATTGCTGAAGTTGATTCGACTGATTGCTTGCAGGCCTCTTCGCCTCCGGAGAGAAACAGGCCTGGGCCGAGCCGGAGCAGCTGAGCGACGAGAAATGCGGCATCCTAGACGAGGACGAGCTCGCCAACGAGACGGAGGAGCTGTATCGTACGAGCGGCGGGGGGGGCTACGGAGCCATGAACCAGGGCTCGGATCCCAACGGAGGAGGGGGGGGAGGAGGAGGAGGAGGAGGAGGCTGGGTCTCTGACTGGGACAAAACCGAGGAGTACGTCCAACCAGCTGGAACCAATAATTATCTTTACGGAGGAGAGGGCGACCGAGAGCTGACATAAAAGCAGCAGATCCTCCTCCTCCTCCTCACGTAGGCACAAACAGTGTATCAACAAGTGTGGAGTCTCAACTGATGGCATGAAAAACTTTGGATTTAAAATGGAAAGCGGAAGGGGGGACGATTTTCAGCAGGTCTGAACTGATCTCAAAGAGACTGCACGGTGGTGGCGGAGACATTAGTAGATGTAAAGTGTGTGTTTGTGTGTGATTGCAGTTGTGACGATCTACGTAAGAGTGTTGTAGGAGTCGTCAGCCTTCCTGTTGGAGGAGGGCTGTGCTGTAGGCCTGGTGTGGCTTCCTTTGGTGTTTATTTGTTGTAATAATTGTAGAAATTTCTATAAGAACTGACAAAACATGAATTTAATTTGTTTGCCTCGCATCGTATTTGATTCATTCAAGATTGCAAATTTTGGGGCACTCACTGATCACTCTCACATTTCTTTTTCTTTTTTTAAATTCAAGTTTCTGAAAGCCACAGCAGCAGAGTATGCACCTCTGTTAGTTTCATGCAATAATATGAAATCATGTTTCCTTTTTTGTTTACCTTAATCTGCACACTTTTAAGAAAAAAGCATGTTACTTGTGCCAATACAACAAACTATTTTGTTCTGTAGTATTGGTTTACCACTGAAAAAGTAACTGAACACCTGCAAGTATTACTGTACGCAGCTTTCTGTAAAGTTGTCACTTCTAAATAGCCCATATACACATTTTTAGATTTTGATTTCCTCGTACAGACCTGTGCTAGGCCTCTGACCTTTCTGCCTGCCGACTAACTGGGGATTAAGAATGCCTCATGTTGCAATAGAAGGAAGAGAACGAGTCCGTTTTGAAACTAGTTTCTTAGTTAGACCTACTTTTTCTTTCTATGAGGCGTCTTTGTGGCTGAAAAATTTTGTTCTTCACACTTAACATCTAATATGTGATGTTATTCTGTCGTGTGTCGCAATTCATCCTCTTAAGGGTTGGCGTCACAAAAAACAGTTTGCTGTCAGCACATATCCTTTGAACCCCAACACATGCACTCTGTCACGGGGGCAAAGCACAAAAAGCACTGAGCCAAGACTGTGGTTTGGCCACAGGGTGTGGTGATCTCTCGTTGCCCTTTCCTTTATTTTAAAGTGCTGCGAAGTGAAGATATGTTAAATGATCAGTAAACTATCCAATTAAGAAAAAAAAAAAAAAGGACAATAAAACATCAGCATTTCCCTGTACATGTATTTATCTTTGTTCGTAGATGTTGTAATGTCTCTAGCTAGTCCCAAAATGAAGGTTTAAAGTGCAACCATGAACCCAGCGTAGGTCATGGGATGGTTCTGTTTCACTGAGTGGAATACACTGATAGACTGAATATTTAATGTTAGGATTTTTACTGTTTTTCTTTTTTCATTTTTCATTTTTTGTTGTTCAATGTTTTCTTCTGGATTCTAAACTCAAACTGTATATGTAAAAAAAAAAAAAAGAAAGAAAAAAAACATGTACATGTGGAAAAATGTTGTATAATAAAACCTAGAGGTGATCACTCCTGTACAGTCATTATGACCGTGTACGCTCGTGCACGGCTGCTATTTTGAAGACTTAATGTTTGCTGGTGCATAAACTATCTCGCTATAAATAGATGATTTCAGTCAAGCGCTACATTTTTAATCAGCTTTGTTGTTAATTACAGCACCTGCTTTGTCTTGCTCCACCCAACTTTCCTCTGCTTCATGCATGATTCAGGCTCTGATAATGTAGGTCTCTAAGCCCTCTGATACCGAGGTTTCATGTTGCCTCTAATGCTGGGCTCCTCTCCACGCGGCGTATTGATTACCGAGCTGAAGCTTAAGGAGCATTGAAATGGAGGAAAAATTGATTTTGATGGCACCAGTTAAAACAAGGGGCTCACCAGTTCTTCTCTGCAGCCAGTGAGAAGCGGCGCAGAGGCTCAGGGATTCACCCTCGCTGCTCTGCCCCCGGTCTCTAAAATCAATCGGATTATCCTGCACCCATCTGCCAGGAAAGAGAGAGGAGGAGCAGGAGAAACATATTCATCGCTGACATCTGATAATGCTGCGGTACTACATCCCTTGTGCTTTGTTCGTACCTTTTCGCGCGGCATTATGTTGCAGGATGAGCGGAGGCAAAGGACACGGGAAAGAAAAGGGACGGAAGAGAGCAGCACTTACTTTTCTAAAAATAAATCAAATCTGGTCTGGTGGCGTGTGGCAACCACAAGTGGAATTAGGTTTCCTCTATAGGCACAGCTGTACAAAATATAGATGTACAGGTAGATGGCAATTTAAAGAAAAAACTAAAATCTTTCTGGTTCTATTATGCTACGGGGGGACATTTTGCTGGTATGGCTGAGGTCCACTTGACTCCTAAGACGAAAAAAAGTCACTGTGAATCGATTCAAAGTTGTTCTGAGTGATCGCTTTAAACATATGATAAAACATTTCAACCCTGATGGGAGTGCTCTCTTTAAAGATAACAATGCCCCTGTATTTAGTGTCACTGAATGGTTTGATGCTCTTTTCAGCCACCAGATCTCAACCCCGATCGACACACATATTAGACAGATCTTTCCACCAACATCATCAAAAAACACCAAATGAGGGAATATCTGTTGTAAGAAAGCTCTATATCCCTCCAGCAGAGTTCCAGACTTGCAAAACCCACGACGATGTGCACTGAAGCAGCTCTGGTGACCCATCACCTTACTGAGACGCTTCATGTCGCTGTTTTCTGAGTACTGTCATTTCTCAACATGAAGAGTTGTGCAAAAAATTCTAGAAATAAAGCTTTTGGTTTCACCTCACAAACATTCACAGTGAGTATAAAGTTATGTGGAGGTAAGACAATAAACACTGTTATAGTGGCCTTTAACCACC